AGTCCGGAGAGGCACAAAAGCAGAAATAATTGCTGAAAGCCTTCCACAGAGCTCCATCACTGGCAGCCTCACACAGCCTGCCTGTGTGAGGGATGGATGTCCTCCCTAGGAACTCCAGCTGGGAAATCCTCACACTGCACAGAAGGGCACGGCCAAATCTCTGCTCTTCTGTCAGGATCCGATTCTTCATCCTTCTACTCTATGCCAGCATTGAGAGAAATTAAAACTTTTTCTGAGTCACTTGGAAGCTTCCATTTGCCTTCAACGTCTCACACCATGTGCCTTACCTCCCCTCTAGTGGGAATACTCAGACATTACCAGACTTTTCACTGGCAATTTACACTTCAGGCAAAGAAATTTTGTTCCAGCAATAATTTTAAGGCTGTTTTTAAAATTCAAAAGAAATATTTGAACGGTTTTCCTCTGTAGAAAACATTTGTCATGTGAACAGCTGCATGTAATCGATTACAGAACTCTGTCCTGGCCATGGTTCATCCATGTCCCCATCAATCATTTCTCCAGATGTTTGTAATGCTGCTTGTTTCAGCTCAATCTGCATTTTAAACAAAGTCCCTGTGTTAGAGATTCCCTTTTCTTCATATTTACACATTTCAGTGGCAATTCTGTAAATGCTCTGTGCTGAATTTGGCAAATTTAACAACTACTGCTAAGGGTATTACAGAATTACAGAATGGTTTGGGTTGGAAGGGACCTTAAAGCTCCCCTCGTTCCCCCTCCTGCCATAGCAGGGACACCTTCCACTAGCCCAGGTTGCTCCACGCCCCATCCAGCCTGGCCTGGAACAGTTCCAGGGGAGTACTTCCATTTGTGCAACATAAAGATTGTGCATGTTGGAGGTCTGAAGGATAATGCCTTTAATATTCAAAATGTCCAAGTTCACATAGAAGTTACACCTCATACTGAAAAAGGAGCTTTTCCTGAAGAATGAAAGTGTTTGCAGTTTTAGCTTAAAAAGCTGCACAGCTGTTTCTTGGCCATTCAATCCAGAATGCAGACATTTGTTTTAGTTACAGAACTCCTAAGAAGCAGCAAACACATTAACACAATCATCTCAGTATTTCCTTCTCAAGTCAATAGAAAGAAGCTGCAGAATCTCAGCATGTAGTAGTGTTTTAACTCAGCTATTTTAATTATTCTCATCCTTCTGGTAACCTAAGAGAGCATACCAAGATACAGAGAATGTAATGACTTATGATGGTTACTGAAGTCCCTTTGCATAATGCAGCAGCAGCAAAACAGTTTTGGGGCACCACAAACAGCTGCATGTTTAAAATGAAGTGCTTTCAGGAAGGTACTTGCTATGCATAGTCAGAACATGGGGACACCTAACACTGCCTACTCATGTGGCCACCTGAGGAAAGCTCTGAGTCACCACGTACAGCAGGTGCAAGGTGGAGCACATTTCTGCCCTAGCTAAAAGTGAAACATCCCACAGACCCTACCCAAGCCTCCCTGTAAAGATGTATTTTCCGAAATGGCTTGTAGAAGGTCTGTGGAACACCAATGAAGCTTAATCTCTTAAACATCAAAAGAGTCCTGAAATTTTATTCTTCATGATTACACTAAGACTTCTCAAGCTGCTCTTAATTCATTTAGACTGTCTGCTGACTTCTACTCAGCTTGGCAGAAAAACCTGTTGCTCTTGAGCTCTACCCAAGTCAAAATGTTAAATCTAAGACTATTTGATTTAAGAGCCTGTTCCCCAAAGGCCACAACTCCTGCAAGGTGAGTATCAGGTCAAAGCACTGCCTTAAAGATGCTGCAAGAGTCAGTCAATTAGAATTGGTGCTCCTCTGAGATTCTGAGTCAGGGATGGGCCCTGACTTCCCCAGTCCAAAAGGGTTCAGGTGGAGGAACTCTGCAGCATCCCTGTGCAGGCAGGGAAACGGTGCAGTCTTACACCACCATGTATTTGTGCTCAGTAGATACGAATCTCTTCCTTCAAAATCAAAGACAAAACAAAGCTAGACAATGTAGTATCTTCAAAAGTATTTACAGTTTCACTCCAGAAATAAAAGAGGTCAACCTACGGACTTTTGGTGTAAAGGTCTGAATCTCACTGGAGTTTGACCCACATCTGTAATCTTCCTTGGAACCTAACTGTGGAGTTTCTTACAACTAGAAATCAACTGACTGGTGAAGCGTTAGTGCTGGTAGATACATTATAAGGGCTTCTTAAATTTGTAAAACTCCTTACAAGGATTTCTTTCTCCTTTTGCAGCTTCCTTATTGTAAATGTGTGAGTTTTCCCTCAAGCTCCTCAAGTCATTTCAGTATGCAGGATGTGAATATATTTCCCATCCACTTGGAATATTGTTCTTGTCTGAGTTCCTCAGGTAGGGGGAAAAGAAAAGCATTACCCCAAGCTGGCAATCAGGCTTGACATTTTTCCTTAAAATATAAGCTCCTTTGCAGAACAGAATCTAATCTGTTTGAGTCTCAGTCCTTCTGAAGTACAAGAAGCATATTTGGGGGGCAGCTTTACAGACATCAGTCAGGCCTGTCAGCTGCACAAAACAAGCCCTAAGTGATGAATACCACAACCCATCAGTGCAAGGGCCTATGAATGTGTGCTTCCTGTTAAACTAGAGACAACTAGATTTATGGACTGAGCAAAAGTCAAGCTTCTGGGCCACCAGAGTTTTGAGCTTAACAGACTGGAGGTTTGTAATGTTCTCCTGTGCTACAAGTCAGAAGAAACACAGAAGAAATCAACAGGTCATTATGAAGCAATGATTATGGAAGAGAAACTACTTCATACAAGTTATATTGCTGTCTGATATGTGGCACTTCAACTGTTTTAAAGACATATTTCATATTTCAAAACAACCAAAGAGTTTTGCCCACACTAATCAACAAATAACAAGAAGTATGAAGTCACATCCCCTTACAGCTTTTGGAAAACTTGAGTCAGAAGGAATTAAGGTATAGCCCAAAATTATTTAAATAAGCTGCCTAGGTTATTTAAACAACCGAAACCTCATCTGAAATGAGGTCTTGTAATACACTGATGAGGAAATCCACAGCTCAAACAATTTACAAATTAACTTACTCAAGATTTTCCTGCTTGGCAGGTCATTAAACAGCTGTTCAGCATTGATCTGCAGAGCCCTGTAAAACTCCTGACAGTGTCTGTCTCCTTTTTTCTGAAGGTGCTTTAACAGGTCTGAGAGTCTGGTATGGAGTGATGCCTTTGGATTCCTGAACTGTAAGAGAAAAGCACTCATCAGAAGAGAGATTACAGCAGCTGGAGGTCAATTTTACCTGACTTTGCAGTATGCCTGGGAACAAAGATATGGAGCTTCTTTGATATTTGCTAAAAGACTGGGCCACAAAAAATGAGGGAAAACTCAAAAGGGCATACATGCACTGCCCAGCAGCCTTCCCAGCACTGATGAGCCCCATCTGGTCAGCACTGCCTGATGGAGAGCCTATTGCCTCTGCCTCCCCTAATGCCTCTTTCTGTCCTGAGCAAGTGACAGACACTCTGCATTTGATGTCTTCCCCCCATCCAAGCTAGCACGGTACTTGCCATTCTACAATTTAATTCTGACAGCTGTTGATAGAAAATATCAACAAATCTTATAATAAAGTTCGATGTTTTCAAGTTTTTGCTTAGTTGCCAAGTAATGATTACCCAAAAAGGCACCTTATACTGCTTATCCTACTCCCAATATTGGAGTGCTCATCACCCCAAGATTCCATATTTCACTGTTTCCAGCACAATTAACTGCTGTGCACCCAGTGCAAAAGGCACAAATTCCCATTACTCAGGCGACATGGCCAGCAGCTGCAGAGGGAAGTACTTTTCAGTAATGCTAAATGTGGTGAGTATTAGGAGACCTTACAAAGAGAAGGAAAAGGCATCCCTAGCCTTACAAATCACTGATTTCAGCTTATTTGGAAAATGTCCAAAGCCATTCTCAGCAGAGCATCACATTTCAGAGCAGCACAGTGGATTAACCTTTGCAGCATACTCAGTTAGGAACAATTCCTGCTCAAGAGGGACAGGAATGACGCCACAGACCCTACACAACACTCCTTATTCTGACAAAATTCCCACAGGGTCTGCCAGCTACAGCTGAGATTACAACCTTCCTAAACACTCAAGAGTTGACAGAAACTTGCCTGGACCCATGCAAAAGCAGCTCATTTCTAAGTGCAGAAGTCATAAATCATGTTTCGCAGATTCTTTAGGCCTTTATTTTGAAGCTCTTGAGGGAATGAGATGATCTTGCCTTGCACATCACACTGGTTATCATAACTGAGTGGCAAGACTGGCTCAGCTGATGATCTAGCTCTGTTTTACACCACCAAAACACTAATTGTCTCCACAGAGTTTGATTATGGCAGATTTAGACCTATTTTTCCTGATGTTAAAATACTGATATGCCAAAACCCCAAGCAATGTGCAGACATGAAGTCAGCAGAGGGCAAGTACAAGCTGCTGTTTGTAGGATAAGGGAAGCTTTCAACTGACTTCAATTTTGTCTCCACACAAGCTTAGAAGGTCTTTCTCCCTAAAAACAGCTACCCATCCTTGAAAGCTTCATGGCAAGAAGAGTGGCCTTCTTTCATACATGACAGCACCACTAGAAGATGTTACTAACTCCATTCACTTCCTACTGCTCCCAAGGTTACTGGTGGGACTAATGCTGCCCCTTCTCTACCAACACTTAGAGTTATTCATTGGCTACTAAAACTGATTAAGCTCACACAGATGATTTTTGTGGACACAGCTGGATGCAGCACAGCCCACCTGACATGACACTCCGCACAGCCTCGTGTGAGGAAACCGGCAGGCAGGGCATTTGGGCACGGGATGGGTGCACTCCTGCCCATGCGGTGGTTGTAAGATCATGGCAGGAACTGTGGCATTAAGCTGCTGCTGAAGAGTGTCCTCTACAGTAACCACTTGGCACAGGCAACGTGCCAGCCCTGTGACTGCTCCTCTCACATGAAATCCCAGATCAGCAAGCAGGACATGAGGAAGACTGGCTGCACATGGCATCAAGAGTCACGTTGGGAAGAGGACAGCTGGTGATGCACAAAAACAACGCCATAGTCAGAGATTCAGTGAAACTCATCAAATTACCTTTTCTGCTTCTTCATTGGTAAGAATTTGGGGATAGACTCTGTTAAGCTGAAGAACAATTTTATCAACCACTTGCTCATTCAGTCGGCTAGTGCTTGTAAGGAAATACATGTCGTGCTGCAGCCGATGACAATACGACTGATCTAGAGATAAAAAACCACAAAGAACAAACCACAGCAGTTAATTAACAAGTCATTTTTTAAATGCTGCTAATTTCTTTTCCCTACCAGTGATTAAATAGCTAAAATGAAATTGCCACCACCTCATTTTAGAACGCTGAACTATCTATTAGGGAAACACAACACAGGCACGTGCTTTCAAAGACTCATCCACTGGAAATTACACACATGCAAACTCCTGGCTGGTCACTCCTGCTGCCTCTCTCTTTCCAAAGAGAGAGGGTTCTAAATCATGTAGATGTCAAACACTGATGGATATTGAATCAAATGCAGCCCTAAAGTTAATAAATCACTGAAGATAAATTATGCCATTTAAAACTAATGTGTTTTGTAACAGCATCTCTGCTAAAAAGCCATCAAAGCTTTTAAGTAAGGACTTCACAGGAGTGAGGGGAAAGGGCATTCAAAAAGAAGTACAATTTTACCAGGGAAGTATACTCAAATACACATACAAATAAAAACACATCTTTTTCTACTACCCACCCCTCTGCAAATGCACAAATTCAGACTGGCTGTTGGTTTAGGCACCACTTCCAATTTGTCAGCAATGGATTCTGCAGGAGCATAGCTTTCCCTATAGCTGCTTGTCTGTCATCCTTAGATCAAGATACAAGCACAAACTGGTTCCACAGGTTACTATGGCTTTATCAGATTTAGAAAGAGAACATCCATGACCGTGCCTGAAATGAGCATTACAATGTCAGTATATGTCAGTTGCAGCACAGAAAACAAACTCAAAACACCTCCATGCCCCTAGCACATTCCTCCTTTTAAGTAAATGCATAGGTTTTATGGTATTTTGCCTACCAGAAAAAACACAACCATCAGCCCTTTGTGCCCTGCAATTTAGAGAAGATAAACAAAGGAATGAAGGAAAAGAGCCAGAAAACTTTGGCACGATGCACTGCACCTACGCACAGCCATTGCCATTTCCATACAGTGACTGGTTTTGGTATGACACTGTCCTTTTTCTGTGTCTGTGCAGCACAGACAGCATTTACAGGAACGGGTTCAGGAAAACCTCCCAGTGTGACCATGATGCAGTAACAACTTCTCCAGTGCCAGTGGCACTCCTATGCAAACAAAACCACACCACTATTGATGAGGCACAGAGAGCTGCGATTCTACAGGCACAACAGGATTTCAGTTACATTCTCACTTTTTATACAAACACCATTTTATCTCCATGTGTTCCTAATGCCTCCCTTTTCCACAGCTCACTGTCAAGGCAGCTTTTGTGTGCTGTCACAAGCACACTGCCCTGACATACTTGCTGTGCAACTCCCTTTCATTGCAAGAAGTTCTACATTCTCCGATTCAGGGCTGAGATCAAACTTCTCATCAAATCAACTCAGTGGCATGCACAAAGGTCTGAGGCCTCAGCTACATGATCTGTAGTGATTCTCAGTGTCACGAACAACTCCGTACTTTCTGCACGCTTAGACAAAACATGCATTAAGCTAGGATCTTACAGCTAGCAGAGCAATTAAATTTCAAATAACACTGTGACACTCAAACAACAACCCACAGCTAGTGCTAAAAGCATGACAAGGATCCAGCAGAATGAGTATACGAAGTGAAATAAAAGCAGGCTCAGAGTGTCATCCCTTCCCTGCTTCTCGCTCTGTTGCTGCTTCCTCATTACCTGTCCCTGCACTGGCAGTGTGCAGACATCTATTAGCAGCAGGTACACCAGTGAAGGCAACTGTGACCACCTGAAGATTCCATTTAAGCCAAGAGCATTTTCTGAGCAATCATGAGTGCTCCATGTCCTCCTGGCACTTCTCATTTACACACACTCATTAAACCATCACCTTATGTGACAGTTTAATGAGTCTTACCAAGGGCTTTTTGCTGCCACCTAAAACCTACACACTGGTGCACTGTATTATGGGGCAGAGGCCTCTCCAGGATTTCAGGGGCAGCTATATTTTCTTACCATCCAAGCCAAAAGGCAGAAGCAGAGAATGAGACCATGCTCTTGGCCTCTATGGCTACTGCTAAACTGCGTGGCCCAAGGACAGGCCTAATGCCTGGCTTAGGCACCTGCAAGATGCTTCTCCCATCCTGTGGGATGCTCCATTTTAAAGAAGCACCCATGGAGCAGTCTGGTTCCTCCCTATTCCGACAGACATTTCACCTGTCTGCACCTGCACCTCCTCCAAAGTACTTCAGTTCAGTATCCTGGATGGAGTGCAAGGTTTAACATTTCCTAAAGAGCAACTATAGAGCTCAACACTAGCTAACTAAAAGCAGAGCAGAAGTATCTCACCCTCTCAGTATCTCACCTCACTCTTCCAAAATCTTCTGACTCTCTAAATCTGAGACTCTGCCCAAACCACTCAAGGAACAGTCTTTACACCAGACTAAACCAGAGAAGTGAAACTTGCCACTGACACCACCCACCAGTTCAGAATTTTGTCCCAGCTACTAAATTTAAAGAAAACAAACACAAAGAGCTTCACCAATCCTAGCAGCTGGGACGTGGCACCTGCTTTGGAGTGATAAGGGTATCTTGACAGCTCATGTGCATTTGAAGCCACCACATGATGCTCCTGGACCCAGCCTGCCCCAGGAGCTCTGGCATGGCATGGACTTACTGCCAGTCATGGTCCAGGTATGAGTGTACAAACACACCTGTGCTATGAGGTTTTATAGTCACTGTTCATGAACAGAAGCTTTTTGACAGTGAAGATACCCATTATGTACATTTTTAAGTAACAGGAACCCCAAACCAGGTAACCTCATGACTGCAGCAAGGCTACTGATGTGCTGTCAAGTCTGAAGAATTTAGGGAGTGGTTGTGTGGGATATTTTGCATATCCATCTTTTATCTCACTGCCTCAAAGAGACCACAGTTATTGCAAGGACCAATTAAAATCTTTATGCTAAGAAGCCTGTCTTTAAGCAGGAGTCACTCCAGCATTAAAGGGACAGTCATGCTGTTAGCCGGTACTTGCCTAGAAATTTCAGGGCAGCAAAACTGGGAGACAAGGTCAATTAACCCCAGTTCAGAGCACAAATATGGTACTGCCAGGCATTTTAACGCCTCAGACTGCACAAAGATTGCATCTAACTCCAATTTCATAATTTCACATATGGCAGTTACACCTTCTCCTCTGCCAGAACATCAGTCTAACCAGGCTTAACCCTGTCCCACTGCCTTTGGAGCCAGGTGCAGGTGTGCTCAAGCATGCAGGTGCTGTGGAGGAGCTGAAGGGCTGTCAGTGAGCTCAGCCCCACTGAGAAGCAAATACAGCTGAGACTGAATATCACAACACTGAACCTGATCTAAAGGTTGCTTTAAAAAAAGTCAGTATTTTCCTTATTCAGAGGAAATGTACACTTGCCAAAGAGGCTGACAGGAAACTCAGGAACTGTCGCTGACAGTTGGGAATAAAACATGACTCATAATTTCATGTTATTGATTTATAATTACTAAAAGCCAGTGACACACCGTACACAACTGCTTTTTTTTTTCTGTTAGCCAAAGTCCAAGCAGCCTCTGGCACACAGCACAGGCACCCACACTAATGCACACACCCTGCACCTGACCACACACACAGAAGGAAAGGAAGTACATGTAAGATTGAGGGATACCAGAGAAAAGCAAGAGATTATATGTAGCCAGCAAGGAAAGGAAGTACATGTAAGATTGAGAGATACCAGAGAAAAGCAAGAGATTATTTGTAGCCAGTAGCTTCTCAAACAGAGGATAAAATAGATAAAACCAGTGATGATAAATGAGCAAGCAGCTAATGACACTAACAAAGCAACATATTCATCATTTTCCACCTGCAGGTACAAGTCACCCCCACTGAAACCCTTCATAAAATGACATCTCTGTCCTTTCTTCCAAATGGGCAATTAGGATTCTGGCAATAGCTGTGGAATGGCTCAGCCACTGCACTAAGTGCTGGCATTTTAAGACTGCTGAAATATATTCTGCTTTTGGAAGCAACAAGGCTCATAAAAACCCAATCATATGCAAATAACGTGCCAGACTGTCTGCTATAGCACCTGCAGGAAAAACATCAGCGGTGACAGGGACACCCTTCCTAAGGCTCTTCCTGATTTCACAGCAGAGTGTTCACAGGGAGTTTTTCAGAGACAATTCCTAACCAAGGCATCGGCATGCCAAACTCTGGGATGCTGGACAAGCACTGTGGCCTTTGCACTCCTGTTCCATACACAGGTGTGGTGTCTGGTCCCTGAAAGCTGTCACTAGCCACTGGCACAACATAAACCATAACTTTTGGGTTATAGTGGCTGTCAAAAAACCATTTGTAATTTTGGTTCTGCTCAATCATTCTTACCAGAAAAGACCCCACGTTGCTTTCTGTACAGGGCACATGGAATGGGATTTTGTCTCACAGTACCCTGAGAACACTTCTCCATGATCTACTTTTGCTGTCATTCTGGATAAAGGCACATTGCCCTAGGGACCTGCCACCTCAGGGTGGGGGCTGCATTGCCACTTCATGTTTACCACAGTAAGTGACTGAATCCAGCTGCATTTCAAATGTGTAGGCTGCAATCAGCCCCTCCTTGCCACGCTGCAACACATAACCACTCTCATCCACGCCCGGGAGCATAAATGCTGCCAAGTGCCTTAAGCCAGGCAGGCAGACATTTCCAATTAATAACTCCACTAATATTTACACAGGAACTCTTGATACTGTCTCTGACACTGCCGTACCTTTATTATGGTTTCATCTTTGGTTTGTTTTCCCCTCCTTCAGTTTACCAAGCAAGCAGACAGGATAAACTTAAATACAAGACACAAAACCCAGGGCATGTCTCTGACATTCTCCCTAACTGCACAAAGAACTTGTAAACATCCATTCCAGGAGCCTCAGTGGTGTCTGCTGTGCCATGCAAACATGAGCTGCCACTTCCTCTAAAACTCCTGGATGATTTTCATAAACTTCATACAGGAAAGCTGAGGACCAAAACCTC